GTCTGCTCCTTCTTAAGGGCAGGGCTTGTGGCTTAGGGTTTAGGGCTTAGGGTTTAGGGGTTTAGGATTTAGGGTTTAGGGCTTCAAGGTTTAGGGTACCAGGCTCCGGGCCAAACAAGAATTAGGGTTCAGGGCTCCAGGTTTTCAGGTCTAGATTGAGAGGTTGAGCTGCTTTAGGGACTCCCACAACTAGGTTGCTTTAAGGGGGCGCTCTTTCGGCAGCCAAACCCGAACCTGGAACCCTAAACCCTAAACCCGAAACCCTAAGCCTTAAGCCTTAAGCCCATGATTTCTGGCGCTAAGGGCGAAGCCCTAACTAAGGGCGAAGCCCTAACTAAGGGCAAAGCCCATCAAACGACGAACTTTAGCTAGGATGGCCCTTAGAGCCCGAAAAAAAATCCTGAATATGATCCTCTTAGATCCAACCAGGGAAACTACAAAATGTCCTGAGGGCCTCTCTAGTTAGGGATCCCTCTAAGGGCCACATAGGGATGAAGGTTGCTGCGCAATGCTTGAGCACATAAGGACTCTCCATACAAAGTGCACTAAAACCACACACACATACATATACATATACATATACATATACATATACATATACATATACATATACATATACATATACATATACATATACATATACATATACAAATACATATGCATATGCATATGCATATGCAGACATATATATATATACATACATACATGTACAAGTGTGTATACATATATATCTATATATGTAGTGTGGTAGGATACTAAGGGTACCTTGCCTTTAACGGTTTGCAAAGCTTTGGACTGTAGCTTGGGTCGTCTGTAGGCGCCTCTTCGATTTGGAAAGGGTCTTTCTTCATTTTATGTTTGTTTTTTTGGGGGGGTAGCATTTGTTAGTGTTATTCTAGGCATTGTAGCGGGGCTTCCAATTTGGGCTCCTGACAGGGTTTGTCGCGGGTGCGCTTGGGCGCGCTTGTGAAGACCCAGACTTCGTCGCCATGCTGAAAGACCGGCGCTTGGTCGCCCGGTATGCTTCCGTGCTACCACGCGCGCCTAAACCCTAAACCCTAAACCCTAAACCCTAAACCCTAAACCCTAAACCCTTTTTATTAGCACGGGCTGAGGAGGCTGCCGGCAACACCTGGAATCAAACCCTAAACCCTAAACCCTAAAAACCTCTGGGAACCCCTGAGATGCCTCAAACCCTCACACGATCGGAGATCTCTGCCGCAAAAGGTCCAACCCCCCCTCCCCCCCTCAAAGCCATGCAATCACAAGCCTAAACCCTAAACCGCTTGTCTTTCTAGCCGGCCACGAAGCCCAGAAGGCCCTCAACCCTAAACCCTAAATCCTAACCCTCAAGCCTAAACCCTAAACCCCGAACCCTAAACCCTTTTTCTAGAACCCTAAACCCTAGAACCCCATTTAAACCCTAAACCCTAGAACCCAGAAGCCTAAACCCTAAACCCTAGAACCCTAAACCCTAAAACCCTAGAACCCAGAACCCTAAACCTTGAGCCCCGAAGGCCCAAACCTATAGACGGCTCACCTTCACCAAGGGATGCAAATGGCGAAGGCCTAGAAGGGCCTTTAGGGTTTAGGGTTTAGGGAGTCACCCCTTGAACTGGCTAAGGAACTGAGATAGGGTGCCGTGTACGATACGCTTTCTTCTCTTGACAATAAGCCCTAAAACGACCCGGAACTCTAAGGCCGTTCCCGGACTCCCGAACCCCTAAACCCTAAACCCTAATGTTAGGGCCCCTTTAATAACCCCCCCCCCCCCCCCCAATCTTGTTTTGGTCCCCGGGGTTTGGAGGGGTGGAAAAAACAGAGGGGGTGGAAAAAAAGAGGGGGTGTCAATGATGCGGATTCTGGGGGTCTGGGGTCTGGGAAACGAGATCTGCTTCTCTAAAGACTGAGCCTCGGAGCTCTTTCAAGCCAGCTCAGCTGAAAAGTCTTCTCTGCAATGGAACTCTTAAGCCATTTTCAGTAAAATTTTCAATTCCTGGCCGGAAAAAATTTTACAATTACCACCCCATTATTATTATCACCGGACCCCGCTATATAGACTTGTTTACATACATCGGCCCGAAAACCTCCCGTAATGGAAAGTAGTCTTCGGCTGGGGCCCGGCGAATATTACTATTACCACCCCATGTATAAATGGGACGTTAACATTAAACCCTAAACCCCAAGCCTGCTTTTTTGAACCCGGACTCAAGGCAACCTAAGCCTTAAACCTTAAACCCTCTCATGGGAACCGAATTCACGCAAACCTAAACCCTAGACCCTAGACCCTAGACCCGAAATCCTAAACCCTAAACCCTAAACCCTAAACCCTGCCATCGGAACCCGAATTCAAGTTCCTTGGTAAAAAAAAGTGCTGCTCCTTGGGCTGCTCCTTCGCGTCCATCCGAAGCTTCTCATCCTTCTGTCCGCCTGGGGTTTGGGGTTTAGGGTTTAGGGTTTATAGGGTTTAGGGTTTAGGGTTTAGGGTTCAGGGTTCAGGGTTCAGGGTTCAGGGTTCAGGGTGTACGGATTAGGGTTTACTGTTTAGGGTTTAGGGTTTAGGGTTTAAGGGTCTTTCGGAGGGGGGGTGTAAGGCTTAGGGCTTAGGATCCTCAGAGCAGCATGGTTCTGGGGCTTCGTTTTGCAGTTCGTGACACCTTACGATCCCCCTGGCCCTCGGGCCTGAACCCTCCCTGCATGAGGCTTGAACTTTTAAAACTTGCTATACTGGACCTGCTTAACCGGCCAGGACGGGCTTTCTTAGCCTTAGCCCACACCCTGAACGCTAGACCGCACTTGAATGCTGTTTTATTCTTTCGTGCTGTTTGTTGCGGCTGTGCGCTCTTTCCGCGTTCACTTAGTTATTGTCATGAACTGTTTCGAGTAAATGGTTTTGTTCCTTCCTTGTGTCGTTTAGTGTTTTTGCGATGCTTCTTCCAGCTTGTTCTTTATATACTCTTGATGCATCTACTTCGTCCTTTGCGTGCATCATGGCTACGTTATTTCAGCATTCTTTCTTTCATTAGTTCTTGATTTTCCCTTTGTTTGGGGCAAGGCTCTCTATCTCTCTCGCTCCCTTCGTATGAGTATCTGTGGATGCGAACACACGCACACACGCACGCACGGACGCACGGGCGCACGCACATGAAGATGCCGGGGCACTCAATGGATTGGCCAGAAAGTTCACCTTGGCGAAGAATACGTTAAGTCTGCGTTGTTTGAAACGGAAGCTTCTTCCTGAAAACCCAATAAGACCCCATCAACCTCCGCCCTAGCCTCCTACCTCCTTCAAGCTACCCTTATGTAGGGGTCGAAATTATTATTAATAGTATTCCCATATTCTCTTTGCACTTAAACGATAACAACCCGCAAAACCCTATTCTAATCACTAAAGCCCCTAAAGTAGCCCTAAAACCTAAACCCTAAACCCTGAACCCTGAACCCTGAAACCTGAAACCTGAAACCTGAACCCGAAACCCTAAACCCTAAACCCCAAACTAAACCCTAAACCCCACAAATCCTAAAACCGTCCCAAAGCCATGGCATACTGGAAGGCCACTGATAACTTCAACACAACTCTCAGGTCTTATGCCTTACGTGCGGCCAAGCCAGCCCCAGAAACTCAGCACTACTAGCTGAGTTCCCGAACCCTAAACCCTAAACCCTAAACCCCTGATCTCAGGCGTCTCAGTGAGTAGGCCGTGACCGACCCTGGAGATGTCTATCGGATAAGGGTCTAGGGTTTAGGGCTTAGGGTGTAGGGTTTAGGGTTTAGGGTTTAGGGTTGGGGTTGAAGGAAATCGGAGTAGCATCGGAGAACCCTGTATGCAGACAGCCAAGGGCGTCACAGCCTCCTTGAAGCCACAGCGCCTCTTCTCCATCAAAGGCACCACCTCGAGGGTTTAGGGTTTAGGGCGGTTTAGGGTTTAGGGTTTAGGGTTTAGGGTTTAGGGTTTAGGGTTTAGGGAACAGCGCCTCTTTTCCAAAGGCACCACCTCCGGTTGTTGAGAGCTCTAGGAGGAGACCCTAGACCCCGTAAAGTTTCTGGGTTTAGGGTTTAGGGCTAGGGTTCAGGGTTCAGGGTTCAGGGTTCAGGGTTCAGGGTTCAGGGTTCAGGGTTCAGGGTTTAGGGTTTAGGGTTTAGGGTTTAGGGTATAGGGTATAGGTTTTCGGGTTCAGGGTTCCAAGTTTAGGGGTTTGAGGCCTGGGGCTTAGGGCCTAAGCCTTACAAGCAGGGAAACCGTATTGGTGAGTTGTTCACCAGTTTGGGGGAAGGGCGGGGGCGGGCACCCTCCTCAAGAGTGTAGGCTTAGGATTTCGGGTTTAATGATTTATTTTAGGGAGGCTGCCGTCTTTGTCCTTCAAACGCGCAACTCCACAAAGCCTGTACACTGAAATCAGAGATGTGCAGGCCATAAGGTATTAAAAGCACTTGTGTCTAACGTCTGCACACACACCCATCTGCAATGGAACGGGAACACAACCTGTCTCCGACTGCCGGGCGAAGCGATAACACGATGCAACGTCTTAAAGCAATGCACTGAGGTGAGAAGAGGCACAAGGAAAACAATGGAAAGCTCAAGTCGAGAAGCACCCAGCCAATCAACCACTCTCAAGTGCCAAGTATTGAAACAAAACACACGGGCTTCTGCGACTTGCTACAAGGCCTCATTTTACTGCACTGCCCGCAACCCCAAGATGAAGCTGCGAAGCTGTCCTAGCTGTCCGAATTCAACGATGCGGCTATGCGGAATTGCAGGCATGCCATCGGGCAGAAACAAAGCAAGCACATTTTAAAAAGTGGTACGTGGATTTCCTCCAATGAACATCAAGGCGCTCGCTACTACCACGAGCAGCACGACTATCTACATCCGTCCTTCTCCTATTCGAGATTTATATGGTTTAGGGTTTAGGGTTTGGGGTTTAGGGTTTAGGGTTAGGCTTGTTCATGACAGTCCGGCGTTCTAGCGCTCAACCTCCGCCAGTGCCCACACTCCTGCTTACACAGGAACCGAATCCTCGTCGAACTTTGTCCGGCATGCGGGACACGATCTTGCAGATTCCGAAGCAGAAGACACCGACCACGACGCAATGCACTCTTCATGGAAGACATGGCCACATGGTAGAAGCGCGACGTGGCTTGCTGGCTGGAAGTCGTCGAGGCAACATAAGCAAGTTGACAAGGACGCGGCCTGTGCGGCAAACAGGGTCGTCTGCAGCTCCAGGGCGGGTCGAGACAGCTCCCATTTGGGCCTCTTCCCCTTTTCTATGCGGAAGCAGCAAAATTGAGGACAGATTGAATCCAGTGTGTCGTACCTGCACGGAGCCCACACACGACTGGTCTCATCCTGCTTCTCAAGGGAGATGGGGGTCACAAGGTCGCTGTTCTCACGCCCAGCGTTCCCAATGAGCATGACGGATATCCCTACAAGCATCACACAGCAGACGGGGATGGTCATCAAGACTAGCCAGTTTCTCCGATACTCGGATGGGGACATGGTGATCATTGATGCGCACATGCCCAGAGCACAGAGGACGAAGATCGAGGACACGAGTATGAAGTGCATCTTCCTCCGCTCATTCCAGGCCATGTTCGCACGTCTCTGGCCCAGGGAACCGGCGGACCCTGCGTATTATGAACGACACCACCCCATAACCTCACAAGCCAGGGACGGCTGCGGCACCAACAGCTTCCCTCTCAAGCCGCGACCCTTGCGCACTTGAAGGCTCAAGGGTTGTAAGTGCCCCAAAAAAGGGGCAGAACCACAGTTTCCTGTAGTTACTAGTTATAACCTTATTGACAAGTACCGCATGAATCTCCAAGTAGTGAGTGATAGTGGGAGGACTACCAGATCAACTTGCGCCATGAGTCTTTCCTCGAGTCCTTTCCTGACACCGCATGAGGGTTTAGGGTTTAGGGGTTTAGGGGTTTAGGGGTTTAGGGGTTTAGGGGTTTAGGGTTTAGGGTATGAGGATGGACGGCCTTTGACACACACCGTGGCTCCGAAGGTTCTACACTACTCTCAACACCTCAACCACCAAAACCTTGCTACCCTAAACCCTATATAAACTCTCTTCTCCCCTAGGCCCTAGATTAAGGGGATTAAGGGGTTGAGGGCAATTAATGGGTTTTAGGGGATTAAGGTGTTGAGGGGTTTAGGGGTTTAGGGTTTTCCAGGTTTAGGGGTTTAGAGTTTAGGGTTTTGGTTCAGATCTCTGCGTGCTCGGTTCCAGGGTACAGCAGGCACACATTGTGGGATCCATGGTCGGGGTCGCGTGATTTCTGAATGATTTCTCGGAAGGTCTGGGATTGAGTTTAGGGTTTTGGGCTTCAACCCTCAAGCCAAGCCTTTTCTTGGGCTTTTGGGGGGACTCTGACAGCCTCCGCCAAATAGAGCTGATACTTGTGGTCGATGATGTCACCTCTTGTGGCTGACCATGGTCGTTTAGGGTTTAGGGTTTAGGGTTTGGGGTTTAGGGTTTGGGGTTTGGGGTTTAGGGTTTGGGGTTTAGGGTTTAGGGTGTGTGGTTGGCGTTAACATGGTTGCCATGGCGATTCCACAATCAACGTCTACCTATACCCTGCAAAGGGCATCCGCCGCGCCCCTGATCTTGGCAAGAGGAAAGTACAGGCCATGCGCAAACCCCAAGCAGAAGGTCTCGAAAACTGCGAACAAAAACTCGCGACCAGTCGACACGCCTCAAACTTTCGTTAGGGTTTAGGGTTTAGGGTTCAGGGTTCAGGGTGCAGGGTTTAGGGTTTAGGGTTCAGGGTTGAGGGTTTGGGGTCTTGCATGAGGGAGTTTGTTGTCGTGTTTGCTTGGGGCCTGGGCTTGCAGAAGGAAGCGCTGCGAAAGAGCCCAAAAGTCCGAGATACTCGAAGTGCCACAAACGACTCTCGGGTCAGCGCAAGCTGCACTATCGACTGCGCCATACCCCTAGCTGCATGGTGGTGGATCATAATGCCTGTTCCCAAAACAATCCGATGTTTCTCTCGAGACACCCAGTGGGAAACCCAAGCAATGACCTGCACATCAACTCCCCCCCTCCCCCCCTCCCCCCCCGCCCCCCACAATATATGCCACCAAAGAACACAAATACACAGACTGAGGGCCCTGAATCCAGAGGCACTGGTCGAGAAGGTCGGGGGAACCCTAAACCCTAAACCCTAAACCCTAAACACACGGAGAAGGTCAAGAAAGTTTCGTCAGGGCGGTTCCACTGATGCTAACAGGTCGCCAGCATGGAACCCGGCTTCCCGGTCTTTGAGGAGGGCCCCCTGCGAGAGGGTTTAGGGTTTAGGGTTTGGGGTTTGGGGTTTAGGGTTTAGGGTTTAGGGTTCAGGGTTTAGGGTTTAGGGTTTAGGGCTTAGGGCTTAGGGTTTAGGGTTTAGGGAAAGCGGGTCGGAAGGCCAGAGCTTGCTTGTGAAACTTCAGCCACTTCCTTGGGGACTCCGACACCCTTGCGGTTGAGGTTTTGGGGTTTAGGGTTTAGGGCCACGGCTTAGGATTTAGGGTTTAGGACTTAGGACTTAGGGCTTTGTGGTCGTCATTGGTCCTTACATCCTTTACGGGGCGTGGCGTGTGCTCTTCAGCTTTGGAGCCCCTTTTTGCATCGTGGGTGTTGCCAGAAACTGCCTAAGCACAGGCTTTCAGTGCTTCCTACCCCTAAACCTTAAACCCCAAACAACAAACCCCAACCCTAAACCCTAAACCCTAAACCCTAAACCCTAAACCCTAAACCCTAAACCCTAAACCCTAGCCCTAAACCCGAAACCCTAAACCCTAAACCCTAATGTCATCAGAACCACCCAGCAATCCCTACACCGCAACTTGCGGCCGATGGCACCCACCGCTCATCATCCTTCACCTCCGCTTAGGGGGAATGTAGGGTTTAGGGTTTAGGGTTTAGGGTTTAGGGTTTGGGGTTTAGGGTTTAGGGTTCAGGGTTTAGGGTTTCGGGTTTAGGGTTTAACCTTTAGGGCTGGCGCTGTGGCACAAGGGTCCTGAACGCCATATGCACATGGATCGAAGACGGGCTTGCGCGCTCTGTTGGCCCTTAAACACAAAATACCTATGTGGGTGGTTGTCAAAATTATGGTCCCTTTTTGGGTACCCTAAATATTAGGTGCCGTATTATAATAGGGACCCAAAAAGGGACTATAATTTTGACAACCACCCATGTATGTTCAAACCCTGAGTTCTGTGCTAAAAAATCGCAGTTTTGGCTGTCTCTCTCACCAAATCCTGGGGTCCCCTCCCCCCACCAAAAAAAAACCTAAACCCTAAACCCTAAACCCTAATTGTTGGTATTTTTTGGTACACATTAGTGACATAGAAGGGTCTTGCGACTCGTCGGCTCAGGCCAATCGTATTCCCTGTAAACCCTGAACCCTAAACCCTAAATACTAAACCTAAACCCTAAACCCTGAACCCTGAACCCTAAACCCTCAAACCCTTCGAAGCAAGCTGAGCGGCCATCTCAAAGAGCGCGCGTGGGGTCATCTTCTCGTGCCCTTTCTCACCATCCTCACGCGCCGGGTGTGTTCTGGGTTTAGGGTTTGGGGTTTATAGGGTTTAGGGTTTAGGGTTTAGGGTTTAGGGTTTAGGGTTTAGGGTTTAGGGGTTTAGGGTTTAGGGTTTAGGGCGTAGGGTACTGCAGCTGAATGTCGACTGCTGGAAGCCTGTCCCCAACCCTAAGCTCTACATCTTAAACGTGATGAGAAAGGCAGTGAGAATCTGGAGGTCTCCGAAAATCAGGAATCCCTAATATAGACCCAAATAGTAAGATTCTCTTATAATAATAATAAGAAGAATAATAATAAGAAGAACAATAATAACACTAATAATAATTAATGATAATAATAATAATCATAATCATATGGACCCCCTAATTTCGGAAGCACCCATCTGGGCTCGCCACCTCAGAGGTCTGCGTCGGGGCGCTTAAGTTCAGCGGCGGAACTGGTGAAGCCATGGCAGCCAAGGTGGGAGAGACAGTCTCAAGCAACGCGCCCAACGTGACAGATCCACATGCGCTGAAAAGCCGCTGACTGCTGCCCTCGCTGGTTTCGCTGCGAGCCACGGCACCGAACAAAGTGCGGATGAGTTTTTAACCCCTACAGTGCACGCAGAATTTGTACGGGCTCAGCAGGCAAGTATGTTCACGACCTTGGGGCCAAACCAGACCGTGCTCTTGCCAACCATTGAGCTACAAATGCCGGAGTCGTGCAGCTGTTGCTACAATGTGAACAGCAAGCCGCCACACTTCAACAACACACGTAAGGTTCAGGGTCTAGGGTGTAAGGATTCTAATCATTAAGGCCCCTATATTCCACCCTGAGTCCTTCTTCAGCCTACGGGTGTAATCAGAAGCCAGAGAAGCCGGTTCCATGAGCCATGAAGACCATGCTTAGAGACTTGGGTCGTTGGGATGGGGTTTAGGGTTTGGGGTCTAGGGTTTAGGGCTTAGGGTTTAGTGCTCAAGGGTTTAATTAAGGCTCGATTTGTCCACTAACACCCACGAACATCGAGTGCCCGGCCGACTGTGGTCAAAAAGCTGGCTGCCGCGTTGCGACTCTGCCCAACTGCGCCAGGGCTGAAGGAAAACCCGACCCTCACCCGAGTATTACACAAGCTTAGGGTTTAGGTTTAGAGTTAAGGGTTTAGGGTTCAGCCCCCACCCCCCTGCCCTAAGCACCACGCACATGGACAAACAATCATACTTGGGAGAGCTTTAATGTGAGGGTCAAGAAGAGCCACCTTTCTTCGCAAGCGCTGCGGCCTAGCAGGTTCAGGACGCCCCCAACCCCTACATCAGCCCTTACACTCGAAAAGCTATCCGAGACTTGGTCAACAAGCGGGGGCCAGCATGCTCTGTCGTGGGAGGAAGTCTTCACAGTGGCGGGCAAGTCAGACTTGCAGTACGGCAGAACCCTAAGGCCCTAAGCCCAAAACAACTCTAAGACTCTAAGCTCAAGAGCCTTTAATCCACTGGCACGAAAACCCCATGCCCAGCCGTCTCTTCACAAACGCATCAGTGATGCAGGAGATTGTCTCTCCGCGACTAAAGATGGCCTCAGACCCTTTCAAGGATGGCCCTGAAACCCTCTGAAAACATGTTCCCACATATGATCCTCTTAAAAAAAAAAAAAAACTAAATGTCCCACGGGCCTGCCTAGGTCTTTCTCCAGAGGCTTCGCCCTTAAACCCTCAAACCCTGAACCCTGTGAACGGCTTGATCTGCTCACTGAGCCCGGGAACGAATTTTGTCAGGGCTGGGGTCTGGGGCAGGGGGGGGGGGGGGTTGAGACACCACAACTCCACCACCTGATGTTGAAAAGCTGTTGCCAGCCTAAACCCTAGACCCTAGACCCTAGACCCTAAACCCTAAACCCTAAACCCTAAGCCCTTTACTTTTTCGGTTGCAGCTGCTCAGGATTTAGGGTCTGGACTCGGTTCTCTCTTTTGGAGCTTGGTTCAGGGTCTGGCTGCATGTAAGAACATGGGGGTAGTTTCCTAAATTCTGGTTCCCTTCTTGGGATCCCGTTTTAAAGGGTGCCGCCATATCATGGGCTTGGAAGGGTACGATC